CCTCTTTGGTGGGTCACTCAGGCCTGTCAGTAATTAATGACTTCTAACCTTCTCTGGGTTCTAATTCCAGATGTGTCTTCCTTTTGGAGCTGAATATATGTAAATTATATGTGGTGAATTAAATTACTTTCCATTGACATGTTAAGCTTACTAGAGATTCCCCCTACAGTGCACAGGTTGAAAATAACCTTTGTCTTAATATTGTGATATTCTTTCATTTGGATTTTCAGAATAATTGTATACAAGTCTTTAGGAGTCATTTTATGTAAAGACGGAAATTCTGGAAACTCACCAAAACCTCACACTATGGCATGACCACAATTGTTGACAAGTCAGTCCTATTGGCTTTTTTATAAAGTGGGTGATGAAAGACTGGATGAAACCTGATCTCTGCTGCGGCACGTCTGTAGACTGATCAATCAGTATTGTTGCTGTTTCACATAGGCATATTGTGCCTGTGTTGGTTCTGTGTAGTGGCACCAGGTCATTGGGGTTTGCCTGTGCTATTGCAATGCCCTGGTTCTGAGCAAGTTGACGCCCGTCTCTGATGATCTCTTTCCTGTGTTTTAGGGGCCGAACGCCAGCTGGGAAGGCTATCCTAGAGTCATATCTGGGTTCTGTCCCGCTGCTCCCGGTCTTGCTGCTGTCAGAGCTGGGCTCTGGTGGTGAGGTGTTTGAGTTTCCCCCTGGAAAGCCCATGTTGGCCGACTCTATTCTACATTGGCTCAGCAGAGTGAAGAGAAAAGAAGAGCAGCCTGCAGGTAAGAAAACACGATTTTCAAGTGCAGCTCTAGGGAAGGAAGGACAACTATGGTCCAGGGACGCTTTGGTTTCGTTGTAGTTGTGATCTTAAATCCTTAATCAAACTGTTTCTCTTAATTCACCTGAGGTCGGTCCAGAGATCAGTTTCACTTGCATTTTGAATAGTACAAAAAAGATTTAAAATGAAATAGGCTGTCAGCAGGAAAAGTAGGAAGCTGTAGTTCAAGTTAAAGTAAAATGTTGGCTTCTGAGTGTTTTCTAGAGTTTGAGGCTTGAAATCTCTGTAAAAGAACGCAGACCGATCATCTGCTTAGAGGGATCTTTTATTCTCACTGCTCTGACGTGTTCTCTGAAATGATCAACCAGGCATGTACTGTAAGTGACAGGGCACTTTCTGCAAGAGATGCAGTAAATGAGGTTACTCCATATACATGATATTCTCTAGATATCTTTAAAATAGCCATAGGGGCCCTGTATAATGCATGGCACTGGATACATACTGTGTTTGCAGGTGATGTTATAGGAAAAGGTGCCTGGTGTGCATGGTACTGTAGCTGTGGGTTATGGGAACTGTGAACAACAAGGTTGCACAGATTGGGTGGTCATCAGTATGATATGATGGGAGGGAGGTGTCTGGGGAAAACCATTCCAGTTGAGAGGTCCTCCTGTAAAATGAAGACGTTACCTCTGATGATCCTGGGAATGTCTACATGGTGATTCTTTGTCAGTGAAAGTACATGAAGAAGCATTGTTCTATGAAATAGATCTTGCATTTCATACTGATGTTGTGCACAAAATGAATCATAAACTTTGGTTAATAAAGTACAGAGCTGCTCTACAGTGCAGTTTAAATAGAACCAGGACTTCATCAAATGTTTAGAAATTCAGGCTCCTTCAAGGAGAACCTTATTATGACAAATTGGCAAAGTAGCTCCACAGAAAGTTCATTTCAATGTGATTAAATGTTTTTGGCTAGTTTGAATGCATTCCTCTAAGGGAGAAAAATAGGTTTGTGTGGGAAACTGAACAGACTTCCAAAAATTTATGAAAAACTGAAATGTTCTGATAAACCTTTATCAGAAACACGTTTTCCTAAAAGGATTTGAGGTAGTCTGTTTTGGATTCCCACTACCCTTTGTGTAAAGAAGATTGCATTTTTAATACATTTCCACTGTGGATTTTGTCGATGCCTTGGTGGATTTCGAATACTTGAAGGAGCCCTCACAAATAGAAAAGCCAATGACTGAAAAGACTTGGTTCTTGTATCCCATTAGGGACTAGTAGGACATTCCTTCAGGAATATATACTGCATGTGGCAGCTCTTCTCTGGACTGATTCCAGAACAGTTATCTGTTTCTGCGTCATGGTGTATCATGGCATTGACTGTTTCATCCAGTTGATAGAATCCATATGTTGTACACATTGTTTGTATGTTTTTTTTACCTATTACAGAGACGTTTCATAAAGGCAGTTCCTGCATGTTACAAAATATGGTACTGTATGCCAGGAACAGGAAGTTCAAAACATATGCAACAGAAAACGTTCTGCCTCCCCCATTGCTGTTTGCTCAGGGGTGTAATATAATAGTTTAAACAAATATTGCATGGGTCTTCTGAAATGTTTTCTTATATCTTGGCAACTCTTTCTGATCTTATTGATCATCTGTAACTGCAAGAACATTGACAATATTGATAATCACTGTTTCTTTGATATAATCAGGATAACCACAGGGTGTTAATCATTGTTTATTTTGTTAAGCTCTTCAACCCTACTTTCTTTGGGTTTTATTTTGAAGTAAAATTGAAGAAATTATCTGTTTATGCATGTTACTCATTAATAAAAGTATTAAAAACTAGGAACTGCTTACATGTAGAATATTAAACATGGTGATGAGTCCTTTTTTCTCTACAAATTTGAAATTCAAGCAATTGAATTTGCATGGTCTGAATACAAGATGAATACAATCTTACAAAGCTGTATGTGAAATCTGCAGTTCCTCTGACAAAACAAACATGTACTGTGTTTACAAATTTACACGTTCCACATGGATGATGTCACGTTGTGGAAATTATTATGTTATTCGAAAAACTTAAAAGATCATATCAGTCTTGGTTTTAAGAAAGCAGAAGAGAAGCCAAGTGTGTGCATTTATGTAATTTGGGCATATTTTTCTGCAAGGATTGCAGAAGTTGTTTACTCTTCTCATTCAACAGTTTGTCTGCTTTATGCCAAGATTGGCTTGATAAATTCTAATTCTGTAGCTATTTAAGACAATTTAGGATCATGAAGAAGAAAACTCTTTCTGCTTCAGAACCTTGTCCTTAAATCTTGTTCATGTTTACTCTTTTTCCAGGCTTTTACTCTTTTTACACTGAAGCAAAACATTTCTGACACACTTAGGTGGTGTAAGACATATAAGACATTTAAGAATTACAGATGTAGCCATTCAAAATGCGTGGTAAAACCCCATACCGCGGGTTTTGAGCTACAGGCCGCCACAGTATGTGATAAACTGGCCAAAGATGATTCACAGGTGGCACTTGTGGTGGATTATTTGTTAGTGAAACAATTGCTTCATTTAATCTCTCTACTGTGCATGTTTAAATCTGCTTAATATGGAATATTAATATGGATTTTTGTAATTAAAGGGAAATTTTAGTACCTGAGCATAAAAATAACAGGAGCATAACATCTCTGAATGTCATATCATCATAAACAGTATTAATTTTGGAATATAAATATATTATACTTACAGTATATGGCTGGAAGTGATAGCTTAAATAAAAAGTACACAACAGTATTCCACTTTCTTCATAAACATTTTTTTTATGAGCTCGTTCTGACTATATTAAGTTTATATAGTTTGTAAAAAGCTATAATGTTTTAACCTTTTGTATGAATACTTGCTTTCATTATTTCAGTAAAAAAATGTGTACATTTTAGAATCTGCTTAATAGGGAATATTATATGGAATATTATATGGAAGAAGGTGGAATACTGCTGTGTACTTTTTCATACCGAGGTACCACTACCATATACTGTGCTTATATTAGGTACTGTATGTATTATGTTATACTACTGTTTTAATTTCCCAATACCAAAATTTACCTTTGGATTTTCTCTATGTGGATGTAAACCTAAAGGAGGGACATGACATTCACAAGCTACAGTATAATAATAAACTTTTTTATAAATCCAACTGAGCAATCCTGCTTTAATGAAATCTACCTACTTTTTAATGAGTTCAATATTTAACATGCTGTAATACATAGTTTAGTTTAAAATTCTAAACAGTATACAACTTTAATACTATATTTTGAAAAAGATTGTCCCTCAGAAATTACCCGAGATTCGAAACACATTCGGGACAGCCCAAATGCTCTACATACCATGTTACACTTCCAGTGCTCCTCCTGGCAGTTTTACAAAGTAGTGCAGCCCCACAACCGAGTAATTAAAAAAAAAAACTGCAGTGTCCTGCAGCCACTGAACTGCAAACTACTGTGAAATCCACTGTGCATTCTGAATGGCTGGATCTGTACATATTGTACTGTCTGTGAAGACACAAATTACCAGTAAGAAGGGGCTCAGTGGACATGTACAGTAGCTGCTTGGAACCTTTACTGAAATTTTGCAACAACACAAAAATGAATGAAAAAGGGAACAGGTATGATACCATACTAGAAAGCACTGATCTTAACAAATAAGTTCTATTTTGTGCCTTTGGCATTTATCAGTGGCTGATTGTTCAAAGGTAAACTGACAAGTTGTATAACAGTCAGGGTATTACAGCTACTGCAAAGCAAGCGGTGAATCTCAGGCAGGTAAGAGTGTTGGGGCCCAGAATTTAATGTAGCCAAACTGCTGACAAATATCTTCTAGCCATTCTCTCAGGATTGCATCTGACAGGACAAGGAATGACATGCCAGCAGTCCCAGGATGCTGATGGAAAGAATGTTAAGAGGCTGTTGGGAAAATCTGGAGAGATTTCATGGCCTTCAAGAAATTCCTAATAAGCACATCTTCAAAGCCACCCATGCTGTAAAAGTTAAATCTGAAAATTAAAACAACTTGGGTGAATTTTGGAAGGAATTGCAGGATACTTTCAAGAACAACCCAGAGTACTTCTGGAAAGCTTTACGGAAGCCTGAAAGTGTTGTGTCATACAAATGACAAAGTTCAGGTGTCTGTGAAGCAGAAGTCTATTTATTTCATATGCATATGGAAGTCCGGCTTGCAACCACCAGACTTAAAAATAAGTAGCTGAAGATGGTCCTTTATACCTTAAAACAAACTAGTTACTATGACACATTCTAAACAAATGATAAGACAGCAACAAATGCCAATTAATTATATCTAAGTTGCAGACTAGACAACAGTTAGTTCTTTTCATGTTCTGGGCGTACAGCCAGCTTACCAAATACATGCCCTTTATCTTACTGACCAAGGACAGGCGGCATCTTTATATATTTGGGCACAAAGCTAACTTAAAGCCACTGGACTGCATAGTTTGCAAAAATACAAAAACAAGAAATTATATTATTATCTCACTTCCCAGGTGTCTTTCTTATTTCTTCAAAAGAAAGGTTAGGTAAATATTTGTCAATATGCCAAATATTAATGATTAAATCAGTACATTTTGAATACATCAAGAGTAAGTATCTTACTTAAAGCGTGAAAGATACTAGCCAGATAGAAAAAGATATCTGGATAGGTAATTGCTTGCCATGCAGGCAACCTGTAGATTTATTCAACGATTTAGCCTTTTCAAAGAGTATAAAACTAAAGTTGCACGTTTTCAATTTAAAGCTGTAGGGTCTTTTGTGTAAAATCAAGATGATTTTGACTACCATTAAGGGGCTAAATTGCAGGCTAAAATGTCACAGAGCTGATAAGAAGACGGTTTTAGAGGGACATTGTGTTTTTAATTTTAGCAGCTGTAGAGATAAAGCAGTGCTGTTTCATTGACTGGCCCAGAAGGTATAATAAATTGAATAAG